ATTATAATGCATAACTAACGTAACACCAGTAAATATCATTTCTTTTTGGTATGTTTTGACAAAAGTTTTCGTCTTTTTCTGTTCTAAATTTCAAGCCTACAGTTTGTACGCCAGGCCATATACATAAACAAACTTTTAGGAAATACTTTTAGAAAACAGTCTAATGCAGAACTGCCTCAATGATCATATCTCAGAATAAAATTTTCTGCATTGACATCAGTCCAAACAGCGGAAAATTCTGTACTATACCTTATTCCATTAAGCGGTGCAGGGCATATAAACAACCATAAATTTAACCGATAATTGTTAAAGATGTTCCAAATGAGTCTACTCGTTCCGATAAGTAACAGTATAATTATGACACTTTATTTTTTTTCTTTTCTCAAATATTCGTGTTTATTGCATAGTAAATAAATTAATGTTATCACTGAATACAAAGTAAGTGAAAAAATACTCCGATTTATAAAATTAATGAATATTTTATGCATAAATGCAAGTAACAGTTCTTCAAAAATATTTAAAAACTAACCGGAATGTCCATCTTTATTTCGTCTGGCGATGTTATCGGCGGTTCATACCGGTTCGGACACGATTTAATGTTTATATTTTCCTGCACGGCTTAATGAATTTTACTATAGTTGGCGGCAAAGATTACATAACCTCGTCTGCATATCTTGGATATCTTCATCATCTTCAGATGATTCCTGATCTGAAATTTGAGATGCGTTCTCAGTTTCATTACCTATATTCATTTCACTTTCAAGTGAACTTGCCTCACTTAGTTCATCTGATGACAAAAACCTTAGGGTTTTCATAAATTTTTATTTTAAAATTCTATTGTCAGTCTGATCAAATAAAATTATAATCAAGTAAATGAAAATGTAATTTTTTGGTAGTTTAGGTGAAATCAAAGGATATTTTCAAGAAAATATATAATTTATATAACGAGATCATTGTTGAATTAATGAAAAATTGGTTATTTTTGCACATAATTTACAACTGCTGTGGTAATTCATGTTTTTATGAAGGTTTTTATGATTTTTTCTCTGCAATTTAAAGAAAAAGCTTTCATTCAAATCTTGCTAAATTAAATTTGCTGAAAACTTAAAAAAAAAACTTGAAAAACAAATTTACAAAAAATTATTATTTGCATTATAAATAAGCACCATAAATATTTTATTTTACAGTTGTGTTATGAGATATTTAATTAATTTATTAAATGTTACTTTTTTTCAATTGCAAAAAACGCTGTTATTGTAACACATACATTTTAGTAAAACTAACTAAAACTAAAATAAAAAAAAAATAATAGCGATTTAAAAATTCTACATTTTTAGAGCAACACAATCTATTCTCTGTTATAGATAAAGTGATCTCAAAAATTGACCTTCTGTTACTGTTTCAAAGGATAATGTTTATTGTAAAAGTGATATACTAGTATTTCGAGTTCAAACTAGCAGGGATGGCATGCACAAAACAAATTCGTAGATGTAAATTTCACTAAAACAGTATAATAGTTTTAGTTATAATAGTTCTGTTGAGGATGCATAAATTTAATATTGATTGTAGCACATTTTGTAAAACCACATTTTAAAGTTATTTCTAAGGGTATGTTAATAACAGAGATCATCGAATCGTATCCTCGCCTAGAGCATATGACTGACAGTGAACGATGGCATTTAAAATGATGGTTGCCAACATCCAAAATTGATAGACAATACAAGAAGATCTTCTTTTTACATGATAGCAATAAACCACAATTAATACAACTGGATAAATATAAAAAGAGAAAGAAAATTGAAAAATTTTAAAGTGCAGAGATTACCTTGAAGAAATATGCTTTATATACATTTTAAGAGCTGACACTCAACTTCTTGTTTTTTTTCCATCAGGGAAAGGTCACTTATTCGATTTAGACTCTCAATGGAAAACTGAATGGCATAGTAAATACCTTTTAAAAATCACCTACTAAAAATGCTTATTTATTTGGAAAGAGAGAACAACTTATAATTATTGATATGTATAGCAACAAAGTTGATAGAAAATATGCGAAATTGGTCTTCAAGAAGTTTGGAAAAAAATCTACACTGTATAAGTTCTACTGGTCACTACGAGCACTGCCCATTAAAAAACTTTTAAGCTCATCTTCAGATTTTCTTATTCTTCCCCGATTTAATTAAGTGGTTTAGTTTTTTTCTTTTGTTTATCCTCTTTCCTTCTCTTCTTTTTGTCTGGTAATTTTCTTAGTTCATTGGGTAAACATACTTCTGTAGGCTTCATTTTTTTCTTTTGTTGCATTCTTGCATTCATCATCAAAACAATGTTTTTGCACAATTTTCTGTTCCACTTTCATCTTTTGATGCTGCTTCAATATTTTCCTCTATTCTGATCCAGTAGTCTATATCTTTCTGGCCTTCTTCATTTAAATTTTGATTCGTTTGTCTGTTGGTGATGTTTTCTGATTACCATTCTGCAATTGTTACATCTCCCAGCTTTTTTACATTCCATTTCTTTCTATCCACTTTATTTGATCAATCCCACTTATAATCCACAAATAGGGATGTTGACAAGATGTTTTGGTTGTTATATTATTTGGAAAAGAAAATTTGTACCAATTTCGTATATTAACAGGCATCTTGGAAAAACTATATACAACAAATGAATACTAGGTTGTCCATAGTCATAGTAATGTTTATTAAGAGAATTGTAAATAAATTACAGACATTCTTTTAATCAATTACATTGTATGATCCAATCTTCAACAGTAATTTATGTACTCTTTTTATACTGTGTTCATTTTATCAGGATACATATTATTATATACAAGAATATTTGGCACATTTTTCTGTGTCAATTTGTGAATGGGGTAAATAAACTTAATCTTCCTATTGTTACAGGTACAGGTGTTCCTTAATATAATTCATTGTTTTTATTATATTGTTACAGCTGTTTTTTCGTTGTAACTGGAATTTCACTCTTACCCTCTTTATATTTTGTAAAAAGATTCTGAAGTATTTCCCAAAGACTCATTTAAGTCGCCTTTGATATGTGTAATAAAACCGGAAATTAACCGGCATTCTAGTCTTATTGAGACATATATTGTGTTAAGAAAGTATGCTTCTAGTCCCAAATAAATTACCACCACATAATATATGGATAGTATTGTTTAATAGAATGTAAAAACACTTGTTTGTCTTCACTTTTGCGCTGGTTCACTGGTAAATAGATTTTAATTGAAACACTGTGGACTGTAATTTTGTTTAATAGTAATAGAATAGAGATGTTACAAGTCTAGGTATCTGCACACTCTTACTTCTTACTCAATACCTCTAACTAAAAATGGAATACACATAACCAAGCGCGATGTTGCCATTTAGCAAATGACATGGTTGCTATTTAGCAAATAATAAAAAATCCAAACAAGTATAATTATAGAATAAGTTTATTTTACTTAGTCTGTTATGTATTTGCTCCTGTTACATAAAGTCCACAGTAGTTAATTTAAAAATTTAAGCCAAAAAAAACAGACAATATATAGAACACTCATCCTACCAGTGCCGACATTATGTCTGCTTGTCTTCAAAAGAAAGATACTACACAGAATAATCTGTGAGAATGATATTTGGAGAAGGCAATATATTTTCGAATTGTAATAGAAATATAAAGAAATACCTAATGGTAATATCTTTTATAAAAATAGGTAGGATTAGATGGACTGGACATGTGTCAAGATCAAATGAATGTTACTCACCTAGAGACAGACCCTATTAGCAGCTTCAGTAGGAAATAGGAGTAGAGGTAGACCAAGACTGAGATGGAGGGAGGATGTTGACGAGGACTCGAGGAAGATCAGTGAAGCAAACTGGCAAGAGTTGGTGATGAACAGAAACAACTATCGAAATAGACTGGGGAAGGTTGATGCTCAACTAGGGCTGTATCACCACTGATATTGTAAAATAATAACTATGCCCTAATTCAGTCAAAAAAAGAAATGAGGAATCAGAAAATGACATTAGAATAGATGACTCAAGGAGAAACAAGAAAGTTCTATCACCAAATAAAGATTACTAGAAAAGAATTCAAGCTGAGAATATCATGTTATGATGGTGGTAAGGTACTTTTGAGATTTCTGGAAGAGGAACCTACTAACAATATATAAGTGGAGTACTGAAATGAGGAATTTGTGGAACCCTCAGATCTAATTGTCAATAACCTAAACTTCAAAGCAGTCAAAGAGTTCATATAATTAGGGACATCAGCTAACCCTAATATCACATAAGGGGAAATAAAAAGGTGCATCATAATTGTAAATACATGTTGCAAAGTACAAATAGTATCAAATAGTAAAAAAGTACAAAGCAGAATATCTACAAGCAAAAGTTTGGTGGTAAATATATTACCACTATAATAAATTAAAACTATCTGTAGTGGGCAAGGCATGTAGCCAGTGCCATGGAATTGAACATGATAAGGAAGATTCTAATAGCTTAGCCAGTAGGACTAAGAAGATGGACAGAGCAAAGCTGAGGTGGAGAGATATGGTACTGTGTTGCTAACTTGAAATCCAAGCAAGGGACAGAGCAGAATGGAAGAGAAAGCTTAAAGGTTGAGGCCTTTTATGGGTTGTCACAATTTGATAAGGATAAAATGTAGGTCATTTATCATAGGATTTTATGGACAGGGTAAAATATTTAGGATGAAGAAGTTGTTTCAATTCCTAAATCACCAAAAACTACTAGGTAGAATTCATCAACTATGTAGAATTATTTACAAGTAAACTACTTTACAATTTTTATGTGTTTATTCTTCCAGTATGTATGGGTCTATTGCTAATGAATTCAAAATGTTATTTTACTGGTTAGAATTTATGGAAAAATGTATGTAAGAGATGCAGATTAAACTGCTGTAAAATATAATAAGCTTCTTTTTCTGAAATTCAAACTAAGTGAAATGACAAGAATTGTAAAAATTTAAATGCAGTTAATATTTAAAATACTTACTCTAATAGCATTTTTGAGGGTTTCAGCTTCTTGCCTAAGAGAATCCAGTTCGTTCATACTGTTCGACACAAAACAAATTTACTCCTCCTAAAAATAAAAAATATAAAATTATATTTAGTACATCAATTTAATGGATAAATAATTAGTTCTTTCAAATAAATGATATTTCGCAGATAACATTTGTTATTTAACCTAGTGAAAACTAAATCTCTAGAGTATAGCTGTTTAGTATATCATTCCACAATTTCATGTTTTTATTATCTTTTCGCTCATTATATTTTTAATTATTTCTTCTGACAGCAATAAAAGGTAGACTAAGTATAGAACACTGGTAATATTTGTTGTGATATGTCTAAATGTTTTGTTTATTTACAATAAATCTAATTGACAAAGTTAATTCATTTATTTATTACCCATAAGGCTGAGAAACAACAAGAATTCCTAATTAAAAGATAATAGCAAATATTTTTAAATATATGTAAAATACATTGGTACCAAGAAATAGTTGATATTGTTGACAATTTCTATTGATCTTGTTTCTATTATTTTTTTTATATATTTATATTTTTTTAGCTCACTATGTGTACATTCAAAGGACATACCAGTTTTAAACCAGTTTATTTCAAATAAAAAGTATTAGATATAACTAAAATTTTATTTTTTTTTAAATGTTTATAATATCCAGAACATATATTAAATGGTCATCAGATGTTTAAGTGGACCATGTATCCTAATTATTAAACAAGAATATCAATTAAATAGGAAAACAACATTTCTATGTTATGGGAGTGTATCCATATGCTAGGAAAAAGGAAATATGGTAAGACAAATAATGTGTTAGTTTAAGAATCTGAGATAACAACTTTGATGCAGCAGTACAGAGCTATTTAGATAAATAGTCAATAAGATCCACATAGCAATGATGGTTTTGATACAATTTCTATAGCAGGTGCAACCTGAAGAAAAAGCACTATCTCTATTATATTCTTCACATACTTTCAGATTTATTGTTTATATTTTCAGAATACATATCTGTTAGAATATATGATATATAATCTTTTATGATGAATCATGTTAAATACAAACATAATTTGCATGTTACTTAGATATTTCTTTATAATCTATTTACTTAACAAGTTAATTTATAATCCTAGTACAATAAGTCACAAAATAGTGATAATATATGACACGTACATAAATTCAATACCTGAGACAATCCTCAAGTTTTTATATACACAAAAATCAAATAACAAATTCCCAACATACAGTCTACCATCTAAAAGTTTCAAGGTATTAAAGAAGATAATATCTATGCTGTCAATCCATCAAATCCATGCATACAGTCTCCAAAGTAAAAATCAGATTTATGTTAACTGCTAGGCAAAGAAGTATCCTAACTGAAGGTGTCCATATTATATAATATAAAAAGTGACATAGATATCATAACACCAATTATAAATTTATTTGTTGTAATACAATTTTGTTTACAAATGACAGAAAAACTGAGCATAGACATTTTATGTTCATGGATAATTTTTATAATAATGCTAGTTTGGCAGAAATTTTACTTCCAAATAATAAATACTCTACAGGTACTTTACTAAGACTTTTGACTAAAACTTTACTAAGAATTTTGCCACCAGATTTAGTTTCAGTATTTCACAAGAAAGGTAGAAATACAGCTAAGTGCTCATAACAGCACAATGGTAGGAGCAAAGAAAGATAAAAGATATGGTTGTTACATATCTAACCAATTAAAAAAATTAGATGAAATCTACAACTAAAGAGGAATATTATTAGTAAAATCTTGTACAATATGACCATTATATGAGTAGAATCCATAGTTCTAACCATGTCATGTTATCCATGTAGTCATAAAAGTTTAGAAAATCAGTGTCCATATTGGCAAATGCTATTTTATAGATAGATAGATTGATTCAATTAGGTGGCTTTTGACCTATTCCACTGCAATCATAGCTTACATTTTCATAGCCTGAAACTTTTTATGCTCTGCTGTCATACTACTTACTTATGCAAAAAATATTCAGGAAACAAAAACTAGTTTTTATGATTATTGTATCAAAATGATACAACAAACTTTTACCACCAGCAGATTTGCTGTCTCAAAAGATTTTCAGCCTTTAAACAACTCACTATTTGACAAGAATTCAATAAAGGGAAGAACGAGTACAGCCATAGAAATACAATATTTATTTGTTTGTATTGTGTTTTGTATAAATTAAATAATTGTAGAATCCATAAAATAATATAATAAAAATGTACTTTTTCAAAGCTTTCCCTCTGTAATTGTGAAGCATACAGTATACATAAACATATACAGTATAAGGACATGCCAACACTTCCAAATGCATTTTATTCTATGGACGTTCTTTGTAGCTATCTTCAACGCAATATATTCTGGACAATATCCTTTCACTGACAGCAAGGGCTAACATAACTATATGGACCTTTTCAATTTATGTCATAAAGATTATATGGTTAGGTATTGTTTTATTGTATGCTCACACCTTGAATATGCTATGTCTTCTCTATGTACAACACATAAATTTTATAATTACTATTTTATTAGGAATAATTATGGCATGTGATTAGTTTATATACTCTATTCGCTTAGTATACTAAGCTAAAGATATACTACTATTGCAGACTTCTTTCTTTGAAAAAAGAAGAATTATTCTAAATAGTGGAAGTGCATACTAAACCCATCAAATTTTGGGTAGTATATATTTAAAAAATATATTTTAGTTGTTATAATTTCGCATAACTATTTATTATATAGTGCAGATAAATAAATATTGATTGTCAGTAATTCGCAAAGTTCTATTTATTTACTATTTAGTTTGTTTATTATTAATATTGGCTAAGAGTATGTGTGTTTGTTTGTATAGTAATCTGCAGCCACTTTTATTCTGTCAAAAAGTAACTAACTTTGCAGAAAAATAATTACTAAATTCACTAGACAGTTCTGACTGGAAATAGCGAACCGAGTATAAAAAGACAATTGCATGCCATGACGACAGTAAAATTATCTCCTGTTAGTGATTCTATAGTAATATATTAAAAAAAAAACATTCCTTGGCAAAATGCAGTATGAACTGGTAATCAATATTAAAAGTTAATAAAAGGAAAGAAGGAAATTAATAAAAGGAAAATACCACTATTATACTATAATTCATTAAGCGGTGCAGGAAAATATAAACATTAAATCGTGTCCAAACCGGTATGAACCGCCGATAACATCGCCAGACGAAATAAAGATGGACATTCCGGTTAGTTTTTAAATATTTTTGAAGAACTGTTATTTGCATTTATGCATAAAATATTCATTAATTAATAATATTTGAGAAAAGAAAAAAAATAATAAAGTGTCATAATTATACTGTTACTTATCGGAACGAGTAGACTCATTTGGAACATCTTTAACAGTTAACTGTTAAATTTATCATTGTTTATATGCCCTGCACCGCTTAATGGAATAAGGTATAGTAATTCAGTAACATATCGACGATACATAATTAATGTTTTTTTTTTATTCTATGGATATTATAAAGTTAAAGTCAATTTCATGTGATCAAATGAATTATCTTACAATAAAGTTGTTCTCGGAATGCAACTAAGCAATATTATTTTAAAGTTGTCTACTTTAAAATGCATACTGTAGCTATTTTCTTGTGGCATTTTAAAGTAATTACTATTTTAAGGGGAATAAGCCATAATTGAAGGTTAAAGTAAGTTTATTGACATTTCAATTTCCACTTTGGAAATTGTTCTCAAAACACAAACACAAGTAAATTAAACAATTTTTTTAAAGAAATAAAATAATAACAGTCAGATAAAATTAAATTATTAGACCGAGTAACAAAAAACAAAATTAGTTTAATTTATTAATGTTTGTATTTTTATAACCATTTTTAAAGTGGAAATTGAAATGTCAATAAACTTATTTTAAACTTCAATTGTGGTTTATTCCCATTAAAATAGTAATGACTTTAAGATTCCACAAGAAAATAGCTTCAGAACAGTATTAATAAATTAAATAGAAAAGCTCTAGAATAATTCTTAGGTATTCTGCACGTAAGTTTTGAATTCTAGTTGCAAATCATACAAAGTCTACTAAATCTTGGAACTCTTTTTGGTAGACCAGTAGGGTTTCATTTGGTATTTATTTTTAAACTTTTAAAAAGGTCTAATTCATTGTCAAAAGCTTTTAAGTCAAATTTAAGAAAAAATCTTAAAAGTGTTATTTCTAAAAGTTCTTTATTATACAATTATTATGCTAAAATGGGTGATTCCATAAATGTAATAAAAAAAAATCTTTTCCTTGTGACATACATGTATGTGATCTATTCTTGGTGCCACCTCCTTTGCATTACCCAGACCAAGTGGTATACATGTGAGCCATTCAAAAACTGATGGTTATTTACTAAAATTATTATTATTTACTAATATAATAAACATCTATTAATTATTTTATAAGTTTTTTATTTATAAAATAAGTTTTGATATAGCATTTATTTGATTGTAAATAATTTGCCTATTTAAATTTTTTTAGCCTCTTATAGGAAATCTTGTCAGTTTTAAAGTTATAATGTTAATAACTAAGTTTTGTTTTTGGTTTAAATTTGCATCCACATTATTTCTGTTAAAATTGTTAAATTTCGATTTCTGTATGTCCTTATTATGTTGTTACTATTTGCTCATGTATGACTATTTTCTCAATATAGGGCTACTGCTTATTCTCTCAATGGAAATCCATTATTTTTAGGACCAATTATGCAAATACATATCACAAGGAAAACTACAACTCTACTTATTACAATAGAAGATTATCCTAGCTTCTTTACATACTAGATTACCAATACTCTTAGTCTGGTTCACAAAACCATTAATGGAAAGGAAGCAATATAATTAGAAGTGGGTAATCTAAAACTTAATCAACAATATTAATGTGTAACCAAGTAACTATCAACAGTATAAAAACATTAGTGCAACAAGCAATAACTTGAAATCTGTCACCCAAATTTAACCACCAGAAA